TGATACGTGTTTCTCCCTCATTACTGGCAAAGAAGCAGCAAAGAGTGATTTGGAGGGGCCATGAAGAAGACCGCCCAATGCTTCACAAGTGCTTAAGGCTGCCGCCATTCAGGCATCAGACAGCTCGAAGAAGTACATCTTGAACCATTCACGTCCTCTTTCATCTTAAAGAGACAGCCGGTGTTTCGGGTATGAAGAGGATCCAAAGCTCCAAAGAAGTGGGAGGTTGCACTCTGCAGTCAAGCCCATTGCTCGTGGGACAGCCCTGAGTCTCAGGCAGCAACCACTGAGTCGAGTCCATACTAACAAGATTAAGGCCCAGTCTCCACTCTTCAATGCCACCAAAAACTGAGAACACTGCATAATGAGCCAATGCAATTAGTCTCATTTATATACCCCCGAGAGCAGCAACTAGACCAGGAGCAAGTACCTTCAGTTCTGGCGCCCATTTGTTCTGCTGCTGCTGCAGAGGACTTCCTTCCTCATCAGTGAGCTCTTCCCCATCGTCCTCAACCTCCTCCTCAATTGTTGAGAGGCCAAACTTCCGATTATCAATCACCTTCTCCACAATTCCTAGCATAGCCGGATTAGCGGCTTGCACGCGCTTCTCTAGCTGCAGGGCGCTCCTGCTTGGTATGTCTAAATACGCCATGGGCAACGCCCAATCAACCACTTTACGAGCGGCTGCGTCCTGCACTATTACTCCACCCAACTGATATCGCTTGCTTCTGCTGGTGTTCGTGGGCATGAACCCTCTCACTCTCTTTCGCTACCGCTTCTTTGCCATGACCTGACACTGTCTTTCTTTCTCGTGCCTCCCCTTGCGTTCATTAGCGTCCCTTTTGAGCTGCTTGTTGGTAAAAAGCCACAAGTCTGACTTTCCCTGCTTGAGAAGGTGCCCAAATGCCTGCTGGGACAGGGCACTACTGTCGAGGTCGTTTCCTTATCATGTCAGGCAAGTGCTTCATGCCCCGGTGCATGTGAAGCGTACACAGGTCTCCTCGCGCTGCGGCCGTGATCGAACGAGTCAACATAAGCAACCGCTGTACCCTGTGCTTTGATCGCCTTGGTCTCTCTTTCTGCAACCACCTTGAGTTCCGCAAGCGGGGTTCGCAACACGTTGTTGAGATGGGCCAGCGCCGCCCACACCTTGTAAGCGCCTTTCCTTTTTGCAGGGTCCACGGTGGCGATTGTGAGGAGCTTGCTGTAGACTTTCTCATGGAGGACCAAAACAACTTGCCTGCAGATTGGAGGCGAATTATAATGAATGTGAATATCAAACTATGGCAGTAACTGCTCTTTTTAAATTTCAGCGGATTGGCTGGGAGTCCCGCGTGCGAAAGGAGGGCTGGGATGGCGCGCCGAACAAGCTCGCTGATGGGCGTCGACATCAGAGTTGTCATCAAGGTTCAAAATATTTATGAGGTGGGGCTCTTCTGCCGTTCAATTGTTTACATTTTATCTTGGATTTAGGTAGTACTACTGTTGTGTGAGTACGCCCTAAGATCCTAGATGATTTCGTAGCCGTTTCATTGAGTTTGATAGAGTGGTAATTACCCCCTGGCAATTACCCCCCGGCAATAACCCCATTGGCAATTACCCCCTGGCATTTACCCCCACTGGCAGTTACCCACTGGCAATTACCCCCACTAGTGGTAGTTACCCCCTAGGCCAGTGTGGACCATTAGATATGCATCTTTGTGGAATCTTGGAGGCTAGGCCGTTGATGTTTGAATTGACTCACATAGAGCTAGAGTTGGACTCGACCTAGTAGACGTAGTCACGGATTTATGACTTGGACCATTGACTTGTATTGATCACTCATTCCTAGTAGTTGTGCTTGACTTGAAACGCGCTCCAAGGCGCTTGCTTTCAACATTTTAATTCGATTCACTTTTATCCTAGTTCGATCGGAGAAGACGACTACAGAGAAGATGAAAACCTGAAGATGCCGACACCAAAGCCAACAATCCAAAGAGTGAAAGGTTGGGGAATACTCATAGTTTGCTAATAGGCGGGTAGAATATTCGGTGCTGCCAACCAATCTCTTCTATCAATAAAAGGGAAGATAGAGACTTATATCGACAACGAGAAGTAAAAGTGAGAAGTAAGAGATTTGCCTTTGAAAAACCCTAAACCTCTCAATAAAGTCGATTGGCTCGGTGTCCTTTTTCTTGGCACCATCTTTCTTGCGCAAATGCACCCCTACTTTCTTGCACCTGATGTTCATGTTCGTGATCAACCCGTTGATGGCGTCCACCTTTTCCTGTGTGTCGAGATTGACTTCAATGGTCCCCTCAAAGGTGGTACTTGCTGGGCGAAAGAGGAGGTGCAAGCTGCAAAAGTAGATCTGGTTGAGGGGACATCTGAAGAAGGGGGGTTTTCCAAATCGCATTTTTTTTTGTGAAAGTAGCGTAGCTTTCGTGTTGATTTCGGTTCTAAGGGCCCCGGATGGGCGTCAACTCTAGCTTGATCTGGGAAAGTCTGTAGACAAATAGAGGCACTTGACGTCTGGATCGGTAATCATGGGCCCGGGGGCGATGGGCTGCATTGCGAAGGTCCTCCAAAGTGCGCAAATTGCTATCTAAGGGGACTCTCCTCCCCTCAGCATTGACCGAAACCTTGCTAAAATCGTCGTGGTGCATTTCACAAAGAGAGCACCTGTACGTATGCGAGTGGCCAGAGCGGCATGCCACCTCCGCCAGAAAGACGTAGTCGCCCTCTAGGGTTTGTCGAATGTTGTAGTGCGTTCCTCCAATTGTTACCCATCCTGGGTGAGGTTGACTAGCGTAGGGAAAGGAGGCCCACACCTGATGAGACTGCGTAGTTATCCTTCCCCTCGAATTGCATAATGCTTTTGATGTTGCTTGGGTCTGATACACCAGAATGTTTTCGTCCATAACTTTGAATCCGACTTTGGAAATCTTGATGCCTCTTATGTAATGATACAAATGCCCTGTATCTGCCGCCAGATATACCCGGTTTTGCAGGTGGCCTCGTGCGCGCGCATCGACAAACGCCTCGTCAACGAGCTTCTATAAGTTCAACCACGCCGCACGCCCCATCTCGTTTTGGATGATAGGAATTCGCTCTTGGATCCCGTCTTGAAAAGCGTTGACTGAGCCGTTGCTCTTAGATATAGGAATGAATAAGCCCGATCCTTGGTGGTAGAGCTCTACGGCGGTTCCACTATAGTCCACAAACAACCTGAACTCGTTTGCTTTAGGCAAAAAATGTGCGCAATAGAAAGTTTTGCGCCGCGCTGCGTATGCCCGTACTCACGGCGAGTTTTACTAGCACAATGCCCTTTTTCTACTATTTACCATTTTATCTGGCATGGCTCTCGACTGTGGGCCAATTTGACGATGAAAAATGCTGGGGTTCATGAGAAGGGCTATATTGGAGATTGAGCGCAGTGTCTGGTCAGCAATATTTTTTTCGATCGACTTATGGCAAATATCCGGCCGCATTTTAGCTTTTATGTGACGGTTGGCCAGCTTAAGCGAAGTGCTGGCAGGATAACTACGATACACTAACGGCAGCTATGTGCGGAATCCATGGTTGCAGGCATTCTCGGACGAAGGCGCTTGCTGTGTTAAAATGTTGTCTTTCAGCTCAAGACAGTTCTGCTTGCTGGTTGGGACTTGACTTCAAGGATCCCCGCAAGTTGAACGAAGTCTCGTTCCTCGCTCGCATTTAATGATGTTGTTGAAACACAGCGTTGTTGGAAGTGATATTCAATCAATTAAGTTCACACAATGTATATGGAGTGTTCCGAGTCACGGCCTATTTCTAGGTCTACACTCTAGCCTAGAAGGCTCAATGGACCGT